GGAAGCTAACTAAGGTTATTATTACTCTAGAATTTAAAGCTACTTTCTAAAAGCTAAAGGACGCCTTTAAAGGAAATTAAATCCTTATACCTTTTAACTCTAATAAGATAATATACGTCTTCTATAATAGCTTAGAATAGGCTATAGAAGGAACACTAAAGTAGAAGGGGGCTAATAGTATTCTATACCCTGTAGCCTTCTTCTTTAAGAAGCATAGCCCTGTAGAGTCTAACTACAACATCTATAATTAAGAACTAATAGCTATTTATTACGGTGTAATACAGGATCGTAATAGAAAACTAGATAGTATTAAGTATACAACAAAGTAGCTATAAGGAGAGAGAGTAGGGCGCGGAGCGCCGGCCGAGAGGTAGGCGAGGCTGGCGCTAAGCGAGGTTATGTAACGGTGGCACGTGATAGAGGCCATGTAACGCCGTTGCTTGTAATAGGAACGTATCGCGATAAGGGTCGCGTTACGGCTATAACACTATTGTTTAAGCTTTTAAGGAGTTCCGGCTGGAACTTATAAGTATTAACCCTTAGAATCCTATTCAAGTTATTACTAACTATAAGAACCTAGAGTCTTTTATAACTACTAAGCAGCTTAGCCGCCGGCAGGCTAGATAGAGCCTATTTCTTTCCTAGTTTAACTTTAAGATTGTCTATTAACCTGGGAAGAATAACGTTAAAGCTAATGCTCTTTCCCGGAGGAAATTAGATATGCTAGTAGGCGCGGATAATAGTAGGCTTACGGTAAACTATTAGGTTATCCTTAAGCCATATAATCTAGCTAAAGAAATAAAGCTGTTTGCGCCTAAGGAAGCTGTTATTACTATACTTACTGCACTTTCCCTTAGTATTAAAGACGATTAGCTAGACGACTATATTACTAATAATACTATTAACACCGTACGCCTCTGTTTAATAGAAGAAGGGGATAATAATAAGGAGGATAACTCTAAAGAGAGCATTAATCAAGAACCTACCTTAGTAGAACCCCTGGAACTAGATAGACCGCCTATAGTAGAGCTAATAGCTACTACCTACGCAGAAGATAAGATCTCTAAGGAGATCTTCCGCATACTAGAGGACCCTACGGGCTCCCAACGCCGCATGCCTAAGCACTTGCTTAAAGCTAGATACTAATTCTCTCTAGCTAACTATGCTATCTAAGGATTACAGACTAATATAGTCGATAACCGTTAACTTCTAGTTAATAGAAGGGTCTTTATTCCTAATAATAAGCCCCTATAACGCCGACTATATATAGAATAGCATAATTACCCTACTATAGGACATAAGGGATATAAGCGCACGCACTTTACTCTTATCTAGCACTACTACTAGCTATAGTAAAGGAAATTAACTAGTTCTATAATAACTATACTATCTGCTGCCGTTCTAAGTACTCTAGAGATAAGAAACACGGTTTCTTAAGGCCCCTACCTATCCCGATTAAGTGCTGGCAGCATCTTAGTGTTAATTATATTATTGCCCTGCCTAAATACATCTATAGAGGCATTACGTATAAGTATATTATAGTAGTCTATAATAGACTAACTAAACGCCGCTACTTTATCCCTATAGATAGCCTTAGCTCTAAGGCTCTTATATAAGCTTTCCTTTCTATCTTTACATTATATAGAATCTCCTAGTCTATCCTCTCTAATAGAGGAAGTAACTTTATCTCTAAGTTCTAGAGACGGCTCTGCCGACGCCTAGGAATCTCTCTTAAGATGTCTACCGCCTTCCATCCGGAAATAGATAGTTAAACTGAACATTCTAACTAAGAACTTAAAGAATATCTTTAGAAATACATTAATTACGCATAAGAGGACTAGGTAGACTGGCTATTTATTATAGAATTCTAAGTAAATAATACTACTAACGCCTCTACTAGCATAACGCCCTTCTTTATAGATACTAGCTACCACCCTTACACCGGCCTTAAGCTAGCTACCGCTGTTAATCTAGATTTAAATAGTAGAGGCAAGGAAGAAATATAAATTGCTAATAATATTGCTACGTCTATAGAGAATCTTACTTAAGTTCTTTAAGAGAACCTAGCTTAGGCTTAGGAATAATAAGCTGAGCACGCTAATACACACTAAGCGGACGCTCCACTATTTAAGATAGGAGACCTAGTCTATGTTAATACTAGAAACTAGAAAATAAAATAACTAGCTAAGAAACTTAACAATAAGTACGCTGGCCCTTAGCCTGTTACCCGTATTATACTAGGAAGTAAAGCTATATAAGTATAGCTTCCTAATTACCTTAAGGTAGAAGAAATATTTAATGTCTTCCACTCTAACCTTCTACGCTTGTACGAGCCCAACCCTATTCTATTATAGACTCGACCTAAACCACAACCTATCTATCTAATTTAGGATGAAGAAATAAAGACGTAAAAAGAAGAGTACTTTGTAGATAAGATTATAGATAGCTACTATATTAGACAAGAAGTTTAATATAAGATTAAGTAGGTAGATAATTCTAAGTACTACTAGAAGCCTTCTAAGACGTAGATTAACTACTATAACGCTTAGTTATCCTACTAGAAGTACCCGCGTAAGCCCCGCCCGTCTATCTAAGTTCTACTACCCAGTTAGACACCCTAGAAGAAGAATAAAATAATATTTATAGTGTTAGTAGTATATAGCTAGCTAGATTAAGCCGGAGAAACGCTTATATAGTTAATTTAGTTTATAACCTTCTTTTCTTAGCTACTTCTTATAGGAGCTCGGACCTAAAGGGAAGAAGGGTAGTATTAGGCCTTGCAAGGCCGTTTCCTTTATTCGTTGCAGGACGGGCACGTAGGTCACGTGCCCTTGCGCCTCTTGGCACGCTAGCGCGTTAGCGCGTTAGCGCGTTAGCACGTTAGCGCGTTAGTGCGCGCACAGCAGCGTATTTCTAGCTACTGCGCTTGCGTCTCTTTTCTCTCTTTATCTTATAACTTCTATAGTATAGTAATAGAAACCTTACCTTTCTCTATACAGCCTATAAGTCCTTATAGGTAGGTAGGTAAAAAGAGTGCTTCTAATATCTTCTAGAAGCTAGAAGGATAGCTACTTTATATTATAGTGTAATACAGGATTATAATAGAAAACTAGATAGTATTAAGTATATAATAAAGTAGCTACAAGGAGAGAGAGTAGGGCGCGGAGCGCCGGCCGAGAGGTAGGCGAGGCTGGCGCTAAGCGAGGTTAGGTGATAGTGGCACGTAATAGAAGCCACGTAACGTTATTACCTATAATAGGAACGTATTGCAATAAGGGTTGCGTTACAGCTATAATATAAAATATAAAGACCTAAATTCTTTTATTATAGATGTTAACTTCGATTCTAGATCACTAGTAGTAATATTTGTACCACCCATCGTATTACAGTGTTCAATAATAAGTCTATGTTTTAAGATATCTAACTAATCTTATAAGATGTCTATACATAATTTATAATAAAAATTTTCTTTTTTAGTTATGTCCTATATATATCTATATACTTTAGGTGCACTACCCTTAAATTTATCTTTTAAATCTTAACTTATTATAATAAAATAATTGATTTACTTTTTGTATTAAAAATTATAAGCTTGTTTAAAATTACTACTAAGTGTCTAATTATTATACTATATATATGCTTTTATTAATATAATATGCTTACTAATTGCTTTATATAATATGCTTACTAATTGCTTTATATAGATTATACTTATAGAATAATTTATAAGTATCTAATACTGTATGTGTATTAAATAGACGTATTCTATAGGGTATTGCTGTATTTATTTATTATTAGTTAAGATAGATATTACTATAGCTAATTCATCCCCGTTGGGTCCATTATTACCAGGCATCCCGCTTTCAAAATTATATAAGTTTAAATCTTTTAAGATATCATTTAAGCTATCAATAAAATCTGAAAAAGAATGAACTTCTACGTTATAACAGAATAAGAATAAATATAATAGTAATTTTAAGTCCAATACATTAAAAAATTCAGGTATTAATCTTCAAAAAAGAAGTATTATTCCTAATCTAATTAAAGTACTACATATAAAATTTAACTTAGACTTACTAAATATAAATATAAAGAAATAAGATAAAAGAGCTAAAAATATTAAAACGTATACTGTAGAGTTCCCAGGCATATAGTGATAATAATTTATTACTCCTACTATACTTCTGGCTATTACACTGAAAACAAGTAGACGACCTAGCTTAAACCTAGGGATAACATAATGCTAGCAGTATAAAACTTAAAAAAAAGATAGTCTGTATGCATAGTGTAGGATTACCTACACCTATTGCTAGAAAAATTAAAATAGAGATTTTTAGTATTATTGCTATAAATGTTATTACTATTATAGGTATAGTATTATAGATATTAGGACTTTAAAAGTGAAATGGTGCAGCTAATACCCTAAATAAAAACCCTATAGAGATTATTACTAAACTTATATTAATATAATAAGGTTTATATTATAATAAAATATTACCCGTACTATCCTTAATGTCTAATATAGTATCTAGACTATTCTTTAGTATACTATTTATAATATAGAGATTATCTAGGTTAGTTGTACCTAAGTTAGCATATAATAAACTAGTACTTAATAGTATAAAACAGAATAATAATCCACCTAATAAAAAATATATTAAACCCCCTAAGGTTGCAGATTCAGAATTTCTATATATTGTGGACAGTAAATATACACCTAATATTAAGGCTCTAAAATCTACCCTAATTCCTACTCCTGCTCCAATTAATCCTGTTGTCGCTAATTCTGTTCCTATTATTCTTGCTGCTTGTACTATATTATTTCTAAATTTAAAGTAATAATATTTATGCATTATTATTGTTATATTAATTGTTGTAGTACCAAGGTCCATATCCTAAAAATTATCCTTATTTAATTTATTACCTATTTAAATTTAATATTATATAATTTATAAAATTAATATAGGTTTCTAAATTAATATAGATATATAAATAATTTGTATCTTACATAAGATTTAAACTTAGATTAAGATATTAAAAGTATTCTGTTCTACCTTTGAACTAGTAAGAATCCGTCAGAGAATATCCGATTCGAACGGATGTGGGGTTAAATCTAAATAAGTTTCAAGCTTATTACTGTAAACCTCTTAGTCAATTCTCTTTTTTATACTTATTTATTTATTATATAAATAACATACATAAGATTATACGCTTAATATTATTTATATATGAATTTATGTTCTATAGTATTCCCTCCTAATTACTAAAAAGTACGTGGCCGATTAATATAATAATAACACTAATACTAAAAATTAGGCAATCCGTATACTCTATACATATGCCTTTTTTAATTATGGCACTATGTATATAATAGTATACAACCTTACTATTCTTACCTTTAGTATTAATATCTATATCTTTACATAGTTTAGTATTAATAGAACTAATTAAAAACGTATAAAATGCTTCTGTATTATATAATAATATAAATAACATGCAAGTAAAAATAGTATAATAGCATATAAGAATACTAGTCCTCTAAGCCTAGGGCTTCGGGCTATGCCTAGTATAAAGGTTTTTAAAACTAACCTAGTTACTACTCCTGCTCCTGCTCTTATTAAACCTATTACTACACTAGTTAATATAGCAAGCGCTAATTCTATTCCTATAATTTTTGCTGCTAAAACCATATTATTATTAAATTAAAGTAATGACATTTATATATTATTATTGTTATATTAATGCGGATAGAGAATTCGCACCTCTAATTATAGGGTATAAGCCTAGTGTGTTACTATTATATTAATCCGCATTAATATTTATTATATAATTTAATGAGCCTAGTATAAAATTTACACTTACATCCTCTAATTATAAAACGGGCGCATTACTACTATATAAACCAGGCAATAGTTATATAGTTTTTTATATTTTATATAAGGGGCCGATATAATATAAGTAATAAGGTGTATTAACTATTACAAAAATCTAAGCTAAGGAGAAGAGAGAGAGCTAGGAGCTCTCGAGAGGTTATAGTTCGACGCCGGCGCACGGGCCGCGGCCTAGCGCCTCGGGCTAGCGTCTTGCTTAGGTCACGTGAGGGGCGGCACGTAACCTTAGCACGTGATTATTGTAATTCTAGGCTTGTGCTATAATACTACCCCCCCTTTAAAAGCTAAAGTCCTGTAAGGTTTATAATGTACTATAGCTTCTCTAATCTTTTTATCTTATTCCTATTAAGCTGCCTGTGCAGCCTTTCCTTTTCTATACTTACTATTATCTATAGCCTTACTATATCTATTATTTCTATTATTTCCGTCTTTATATTTATCCTTATAGTTATTTTTATAGTTGTCTTTATAGTTGTCTTTATAGCTATTCTTAAGCGCTGCAAGCGGACTATATAGGTTAACCTAAGGCCTATTATTAGCTTCTACCTATTAGATTTCTACTTTGGGTTGCCTATGCAGAATAGCCTTCTTGCAAGACAACTTAGCTACCTAATAAGGTCGTTTATACTTACTTAGGCTGGTACTAAGAATATTTTATAGGCCTACTATTACTGCGGTAGCGCTTACGCTCTTACCTATTATCTTCGCGACCTTAGGTTTAGATATACTAAACGTTAAATAAGGTTCTGCTTTAAGGCTGTGCTTATTATAATACTCTATAAGGAGCTTATTATAGCTGTCTACGTTCTAGTAAGGTTTCTATTTAGGCTGGGTATTATTATACCTGGTTTAGGCTATCTTATATATAAGGCAGGGTTTCTTACCTATATATAGATCTAGCTGGCGGCCGTTAAATTAGAAATCTAGGACTTTGTTAACGTAGTACTACTCTATAAAGCTATTTTCTTCTATCTTAAGTATAGGTAGGGGTTCTAGACGTTGTCCTGGAAGGGGCGTCTTATTAAGTTAATAAAGTAGCTAGGGGTAGAATACCGGGAAAATTCCTTTTATAGACTTAGGAAAGTCTGGCTTATAGGCTATATTATTAATAACTCGCGTCATATAAAAGGAACTGAGATTCTTATAATTAAAGGACTTATTCGGCCGCATAATGTAAATATTCTTAGTGTTAAGTATAACTATAATGTTAACCTTAAATTCTGGGGCGGGCAGGCGGTTCCGGTCGGCCAGCTCCTTTATTCTTAACTAATTCCAATGTAGTTTTTCTTTAAGGAACTCGCGCAGGTTGTAAATATAAGTAACTAGCTCCTCGGCTGCATTAACGCCTTGTTGCTTAGGGCCTGGGACAATAACGCCCTATAAGGATAGCTTAAGACCACTGCAGGGTGTATAACCCTTAGTAGCTTTAAATAGTAAGACGCTAGTAGATTAATTAATATTAGCGTTGGCTTTAAATTTAGTAAAGGCAATTAGATTTACCTAGTTATCCTACAAGTAGTAGACGTAGGCACGTAGGTATAATCCGGCGTTAATAAATTTAGTTTAGCCGTCGGTTTTAGGGTAAGCTTTTGTTAACAACTTTAGGTGCGTTCTAACGCGCTCGCAGAGGTATTTCTAGGAAAAGGAAGTAAACTGGGCGCCTCTATCGGAGATAATGCGGTCTAGATAGCCTTCTTCTCGCTAGATCTAGTTAAAAAAGGCTTGTGTAACGTCCTCTAGCTCTATAGAGTTGGGGTAGATAAACTTACGCTTCTTAGAAAGCTAATTAATAACTACTATAACGTGTTAGTATATGCGGCCCTTAATAATATAAGGGGGCAGCTTAGTAATAAAATTAATAGAGATGTCTATCTAGTATTAATTTAGAATAGGAAGTGGTTTAAGTAAGCTATATTTACTATCCTTATATACCTTTATGCGTCTGCATATTAGGCATGCATTAATATATATAGTAATAGAGTTTATAATTTCTAGCTAGTAGTACTAGAAGGACAGGCGGTATAAGAGAGAGTTCCTCCTAGCATAGCCTCCTAAAAGAGAGTCGTAAGCTTCCTTAATTGACTGCGTGCGGAGCTTTGCATTATAAGGGACGTATAAGCGGCCGTTAATAAATAGCCTATTCTTATAGATCTCGCAGTCGCTAAGCTTAATCTTAATGCCTTATTTCTAAATAAGTTTAAGCGGGATTTATTATTTACTAGTTTCCTTAGCGTGTATAATGCGCTGGAGGATGTTATCTTCTATATAAGCGCGGTTAATCTACTAAATAGTAGCGTTGTTAGTATAGTCTTCTAGCAAGTCTTTATCTAACTTATTACTAGGTTTAGATACCTTTAGCGCTCCTTCTTTAGGGATAGGTTCTATAGGTGCGGGTTTAGGGGCGATTAGTGCTGCAATATGTAGTATTACGTATATCTTTATCTAACGTACCACGGTCTACTACGGTTATAGTTAAGCGCTTCTTCTTGCCCCTAGTCCTACTAGCGGCTAGAACAATATATAGAATATTAGTTAGGTGCTATTTAGCTATTTTATATATAAGCTGGGCCATTCTAATAATAGAGACTTTCTATTTATTTAGAAGCATGCTAGCGAGCTAAGGAGCTTAGTATATGCTGTCTAGTAGATTTCTCTTTTTTAAAATAGCTTATATTTAATGCATTATCCTAGGATTATTTAGATTGTCTAGAATGTTGCCTAGCCTATAAGTAAGGCTATTAGGCTTAATTTACTATTTGCCAGTTCGCCGGTTTAGGATGAAGTTACATTAAGAAAGATATTTAGCCCATCGGGCTTAACGGCGGTTTAACTGCTTAGAAGATATAAAGTATTCTAGATTCTTATAGTCTATTTATATAAGCGTCGGGTTAATAACGCCGGTAAGCTTAGGTCGCCATTCCTTAAAGGCTTAGATAATAGTAAGTAATTCTTTATTATAGATCTTATAGTTATACTCCGCCGGGGTTATCTTCTTTAATAGAAAGGCAACAGGACGCAGGATTCTATCTAGTTTACGTTGTAAAAGAATTGCGGCTATAATATAATCTAAGGCGTCGGTTTTTAGAATATAGTCTAAGTCTAGGTTAAAATAGGCAAGGACCGGGGCTGTTAGAAAGGAGGCTTTAAGTTTCTTTAAGGCTTGCGCTACTAGACTATTAGCGAGTAAGAGGAAATTACCTTATTCCATTATTTTCTTAGTAAGCTTAGTTAGTAGAGCGGTAATCTATATATAACTAGCAATAAATCGCTAATAGAAATTATAAAAGCTAAGGAATAGTTAGACGTCTTTAACGTTACGGGGTAGCTTCTAGTTCTAGATGGCGCTAATCTTAGCTGGGTCTATTTCTTTCCCGTTAGGCGTAATAATAGGTCTAAGGTACTTAACGCGTTTAACTAAGAAGTGGCACTTGTTAATGTCTAGAAAGAGTCCCGCGTCGCGCGGAGCTATAAGGACGTTTATGCAGTCCCTTTTATAGTTCTCTTTATTATTACTATAGATAAGAATATTATCTATATAGGCTATATAGTAGACGTCTAGATGCGGGCGTAGTATAGAGTTAATAAATAACTAGAACGTGCCGGGGGCGTTGTATAAGCTAAAGGGCATAATATTAAATTTAAAGATGCCGTATTAAGTGTAAAAGGCTGTCTTAGGCTGATTACCCTTCTTAACGCGGATGTTGTTAGATGCGGCAATAATATTAAAGATGGAGTATATCTTAGCTTTATAAAGCTACATAGTTGTATTACGCAGGAGAGGAGGGGCGTTCCTGTTCTTACTTATAATTTTGTTTAGTAAGCGGTAATTAATGTAGATGCAGAGTTCTCCGCCGAGCTTGCGGATAACTATAACTGGCGCCGTAAATAGCGACGTGCTAGGGTAAATAAAGCTCTTTCTAAGCATCTTATTAATATAGGCCTTAACGGCACGCAGCTCGTTATAGAAGAGGCCGTATTAGTGCGGGACGGGGGGTTTTGCGTTTAGATCTTTAAAGTTACTAGCATGGTTCTAACTAGGCCTATGCGGGGGCAGTTTATTAGCTGCTTGCGGATTAAGAGCGTCTAGAATCTAATAGAAGAAAGGAGAAATCTTTTATTAAAACTAGTCCTTTATATATAGTAATTTTATTATTTTCTCTTTAAACTAATAATAGTCCTT